AGAAAATCTTCTTTGTGAAATTTATATTTAGGCTGAGATATAAAGTATGGGAAATGACCCAACATTATGTATATGTATAGGGGGCTTGAATGGGGACCTACTGGAAAGTTATGTATAATGATTAAAGTGAAGAAAGGACAGGACAGAAGCCAGAGATTCAGACACAATCACAGTGAAGAAATTTGGGCCAGGGCAGTGGCTTAGGCCTGTAATCCCAGCATTTTGGGAAGCCAAGGCAGGAAGATTGCTTGAGGCCAGGAATTCAAGACCAGCCTGGGCAACACAGTGAGACTCCGTCTCTACTAAAAATGTTAAAAATTAGCCAGTCTTGGTGATGCACACTTGCAGTCCCAGTTATTCGGGAGAAGGCAAGAGAATGACTTGAGCCCAGGAGTTTGGGGTTGCAGTGAGCTGACTGCACCACTGTACGTCAGCCTGGGCTACAGAGTGAGACCTTGTCTCAAAGACCAAAAAAAACAAAAAATAAATCTGAAGTGGGAAGATATTTAAAAATGCTTGCTAACGGTGTGGACTTGAAGTGTTTTTCATATTATTTATCTTTGCTATTTATTTAAATCATGATATATTTCTTAACTCTTTAAGCATTACAAACAAAAATCTGAGAACATGTCTAATTTTTCTGTATCAATTTAAATGTGTAACTAGAACATTTGTGTAATGCACAAATAAAAGAAAAAAAAATTGTTTACATGTTTGTTTGTATGTGACTGAAAACACAGAATTGGCAGATGAAAAAATAAACTAATAAGTATCCCTTCCTATTATCCTGTATAAATATGTTTAAAAGTTACAGTGTCAGAATTTGAAAGAAGTTAAAGCCAGAACGGAATATGAGGAATGATATCTAGGCTGACCATCATGTTTTGGGGGCAAAATATAAAAACCAAAAGCTAGACTTTTGATACCAGGTCAGAGAGGGAAATATGGTCTTGTACTTCCAGTATAAATGGTGCTCTTATAAAAAGAAGATATTTAGATACTGTGACAGAGACACAGGAAGAACTTCATGTGAACAGAAAGGCAAATATTGGGGTAATGCATCCATAAGCCAAGAAACGCCAAAGACTTCTGGCAAACCACCAGAAGCTAGGGCCAAGGCAGAGAAGAGATTGTTTTCCACAGTCCTTAAGAGAAGCCACTTTGTTCATGTTGATTTCAGAATTCCATTTTATCCAGAACTGTGAAGCAATACATATCTGTTGATTAAGTGCTCAGTTTGCAGTATTTTGTTATGGCAGCCCTGGAAATCTAATACAGATCCCCTAATATATCATAACCCAAAGTAATATATCTTAAAAGTGCCCAGGAATGGGGAAGACACATTACATAGTGAGGAAAAGGTAAGAATTACAGCAAAATTGTCATCAGAACAGTGCAAAAGAGTAAACAGGAAGAATATCTCCTTAAAAGTGGCACTAGATAAGGATGCCCTCTCTCACCACTCCTATTCAACATACTATTGAAAGTTCTAGTACGGCAATCAGGCAAGAGAAAGAAGGCATCCAAAGAGGAAGTCAAACTATCCCTGTTTGCAGATAACATGATACTATCTCTAGAAACCCCACCATCTCATCCCAAATGCTTCTTAAACTAATAAACAATTTCAGCAAAGTCTTAGAATACAAAAGCATATGCAAAAATCACTGGTATTCCTATACACCAATAACAGCCAAGTCAAGAGTCAAGTCATAAATGGACTCACATTCACAACTGTTATGAAAAGAAAAAAATACGTAGGATACAGCTGACTAGGGAGGTGAAAGATCTCTACAAGGAGAACCACAAACCACTGTTCAAAGAAATCAGAGATGATAAAAACAAATGGAAAAACATCCCATGCTCATGGACAGAAAGAATCAATATTGTTAAAACAGTCACGCTGCCCAAAGCAGTTTATAGATTCAGTACTATTTCTGTTAAACTACCATTTATGTTCTTCACAGAACTAGAGAAAAGCATCTTAAAATTCATATGGAACCATAAAAGGACTGAATAGAAAGGCAATTGTAAGAAAAGAACAAACAAACAAAAATCAAAAACAACAAAAAAAACAAAGCTGAAGGCATAATGGTTGCTACCTGACTTCAAACTATACTACAGGGCTACAGTAACCAAAACAGCATGGTACTGATAGAAAAACAGACATCTAGATGAATGGAACAGAATAGAGATCCCAGAAATACTACAGGCCTACAACTATCTGACATTCAACAAACCTAACAAAAACAAGCAAAAGGGAAAGAATTCCTATTTAATAAATGGTGCGAGATAACTAACTAGACATTAAGCAGAAAATGAAACAGGGCCCCTTCCTTACACCATATACAAAAAATTAACTCAAGATGGATTAAGGACTTAAATGTAAAACCCAAAACTATAAAATCCCTGGAAGACAGAATGGTATAGCGCAGTACCATTCGAGACATAGGCAGGGGCAAGATTTCATTATGAAGATGCGACAGCAATTGCACACAAAACCAAAATTGACAAATGAGATCTAATTACTAAAGTTTCATTCATTAACTAGGAATGGATTAACAGGGAAAGGACTGCCTATTTAATAAATGGTGCTGGGGGAACTGGCTAGCCATATGCGCAAAAATGAACAAACTAAAGTTTCTTACTCTGCACAGCATAAGAAACTCTCAATAGAGTAAACAATCTACAGAATGGGAGAACATGTTTGCAACTATGCATCTGACAAAGTTTAATATCTAGCATCTGTAGGGAACTTAAGGAAATTTACTAGAAGACAAAAACTAACAACTCCATAAAATTGGGCAAAGGACATGACAGGCATTTTTCAAAGAAAATACATGTGACCAACCAACATAAGAGAAAAAGCCTCAACATTACTGATCATTAGAGAAATGCAAATCAAAATCACAGTGAGACACCATCTCACACTAGTAAGAGTGGCTATTCACTAAAAAAGTAAAAAATACAGACTCTGGCAAGTTGTGGAGAAAGAGGAACACTTATACACTCGTTGGTGGGAGTGTAAATAGTTCAGCCATTGTGGAAAAAAATGTGGTGGTTTCCTCAAAGACCCAAAGACAGAATACCATTACGACCACCAGCAATTTCATTACTGGGTATATACCCAAAGGGAATATAAATCTTCTAAATACTATGCAGCCATAAAAAGGAATGAGATTATGTCCTTTGCAGGGACATGGATGGAGCTGGGAGGTCACTATCCTTAGCAAACTAACACAGGAACAGAAAACCAATACCACATGTTTCTCACTTATAAGTGGACTAATGATGGAGAACATTGGAAGCCAGAATTATGAGAAACACATGGACACTAGACACACTGGGACCACACACTGAAGCCTCATCAAGGATTGAGGTAGGAGGAGGTAGAGGATCAGGAAAGAATAACTAATGGGTACTAGGCTTAAATACCTGGCTGTTGAATAATCTGATAGCACAAAAATATATACCAAAGCTCAGTAACACAAACAGCATGGTCTGTACAGAACAGACACACAGACCAATAGAACAACAGTAGAGAACCAGAAACAAGACCACACACCTACAACATCTGATCTAACAAAAATCAACAATGGGAAAGGATTGCCTATTTAAAATTGGCGTGCTGGAGAACTGCCTAGCCATCATGCAAAGAATGGAAACTGGACCCCGTCCTTACACCATATACAAAAATGAAGTACTCAAAAAAAAAAAAACTAAAAACCCTGAAAGAGAAGCTACACAGACCATTCAGGACATAGCCATGGGCAAACTGATTGGTCATGAAAAAGAGCCAAAAGCATTGCAACAAAATTGAAAGAATGGGACTAATTAAGACTACGAACTTTTGCACAGCAAACAAATGATCAAGAGAGTAAAACGACAACCTACAGACATGGGGAGAAAAGTTTTGCATCTACTGCCTCCTGACAAAGGTCTACTATCCCACATCTACAAGGAACCAACAATTTACAAGAACAAAAAAAAACATTAACGGTGGACAAAGGACAAGACAACTTTCCTCATCGCAAAAAATAGTATTGGCGCCAACAAACATGAAAAAAGGCTCAACATCACTGTCATAGAGAACTGTAATTGACCCGCAAGCCATGATATATGCACTTACATCAGTCACAATGCTATGATCGTAACGCGTCTAAACAGAAGATGCTGCCCAAGGTTAATTAAGAAAAAGGAATGCTTTTACACTGTCATGGAGTGTAAGATTAGTTCAACGCTATTGTGGAAGAACAGTGCGGCAATCCTGCAACGATGGAGAGCAGAAATACCATTAATCATGAATCCCATTACTGACTAGATACCCGAAGGAATATAAATCATGTCTGAATGACAGACACCTGCACACATTTGTTAGGGCAGCACTACAGTCACAATAGCAAAGATTAAGAAACAACCTAAAGCCATCAAGATAGACTGGATAAAGAAAACTGTGGTACATATAGTACACTCATGTAAATACCTATCGCAGGCCATAAAAAGCAATGAGATATGTCCTTTGCAGGGACATGGATGAACGGCACCCATTATCCCCAGCAAACTAAGGCAGAAAAAAAATCAAATACCACATATCTCCTTACAAGTGGTGGGCTGAAATAATGAGAACCCATGGACACATGGGGTGAACACCACCACACTGGACCTCGTGGAGTGGAAGTGGGAAAGGATAAGGAAGAACAGCTAAGGACTGGGCCGTTAATACCTAGGTGAGATGGAATGATATGTGCCAGCTAACGCACATGACACACTTCTTACCTAGTAACAAACCTGCACGATTCTGTACCTGTACCGCTTGAATTTAAAGTGGAATTTAAAAAAGATTGAAAAATTTTTTCTAATCATAAGCTTGCACTTTCACCACAATTACGCTCCATTTTTCTTTGTCGTAAATTATAGGAGCTCATTTTCTACCAACATGAGCAAAATATGAGAAAGAGATACATACAATACAAAGGCAAAACCAGCATTGAAAATTCTCAAACCCTGTTATGCAATCAAAGTCTAATACAGACTGGTAAAACAGACCAAGTCTCCAAGAATGTCGCCAAGAAAGAAAAGAAATTTCTGAAACAAGGAGAAAACTACGAGCAACATGTATAATCTTGTATTAAGCATTGTTGTGCAATCAGTGTCAATGCACTTATAAATTTTAGGAAGGAACGAAAAGGCACACAATAAAGATGGCAATTTAATCTCATTGACTTACTGAGGCTCATTAGGGGAATAAGACACAATTCAAGACTGAAGTATATAATTAACAGAGGGAATAAAGAGTCAAAATACAGGGCTCTATTGAACATTTGGGATGTTACATTCTAACTTCAATAATAGGAAGTCAATAGATAATACTCACATTTGAATAGTGAGGGCACATTTTTTAGAAATACATAGTAAAAGAATAAATAAACTATTCCTACCCATAAAAACATAAATGATTGTTACAGGCGTAATATTGAGCAAAATAGAGCAGACAAGAATACACACTGTTCTGCTTACATAAACTTCAAAAAGAAGTAAAATTAAACAAGGGCAATGGGATTGTGGTTTCCTTTGGTACAAATAGTAGGTGGGAGGACGCATGATTCACAAGCACCTTCTGAAGTGTTGATAATATCTTATTTCTTGATCTTTGTAGTGTTGTTACACTCTTAATGTATAACTTGATAAAATTATTTGTGCTATATAGCTTTGAAACTTGTGGAATTTTATCTATATGCTGATTGATTTGTAGCTATGCAATAAAACTTTTCTTTAAACAAGAAATTACATGGAGTTTATTAAGTTACAAGAGAAATTTTTAAATTTGAGAAAGTATTAGGGGTGTGTCAGATAGCAGGAAATTTTACTCAAGTATAACATTTTCTATCCCAAACCAAATATAATCAAATCATTACGCATACATATATTAAGTTATAATAGCATAAAGTATGTCGTAAAAATTGCAAGCACAATCTCAATGATTTTGCATTCTATTGCTGGAAGGAAATAATGCAGGAGGCTTTTACTTTGCTCAAGCATTTTATTTATTTAAAATCTAAAGCAAAATATTGCTGTCCATTATGACCACGTGGTGAGTGCGTACACTAAGGTTTGGATACAATAATATTTCTTTGTGTTGTGAACTTATAAATAAATACAACTTCTCTGAGATGTCTTATTAAATTTTGTCCCAAACAAAATAAATGAATAATCAATTCAGAAAAGATCGAGCGTGATTATACACTGTACTCTCAAATAATACTTAATCAAAACAAATAACAGCTAAAAACTAGTCGAACAAAGAATAAAACATTACGTACCAATAAGCATACCTGGCGTCATGCGCCTTTCATTTGCAATGGAAGCCTGGAAAGTTGCTCCCACAATCTTTTAAGATGTTCCTTAAACATTATTATATTTTTTTAATTAACATAGTAGGCAAAACAATTTGCCAACTTATTATAAACTTAAACCTCTTCTAACGTAAAATTTTAAATACTGCTTGCAAAAATATATAAAGCTCAACTAGGTAATAACAGTAAACTATACAAAATACTAAACATTGACACTTACATTCATTAACACCAATCGCAAATGTCACTATTGCATCTCTACAAAATGGACAATTATGCTCTGCTCTCCAAATTAACACTAAAACCAATTTGAGTTACCACAAAGTTCTAACGATGAAAATATCGTTTAATGTGCGAAGAGGCCAATCTTACCACTCCTAAACGATAGCATTTAAACATATAAATCGTTAAAAGGAAAAAACCGAAATCCCTCCCTATAGAAAAGGTTAAGATCACGCAAACTGCTTAATGATCATTGGATATTTACTGATAGATCCATTTTTACCATCATATCAGTAAACTAGGATGTATATGTTGTTCTTGAGTAAAGTCAATCGTAACTGTTCATGGAATCAGTTTTTCGAAGAATACTCTATCAACTCCAAACCTTTGCTAATACAAAATTGATAGTTGTCTACTGTTTATAATAGTCTTAACGTACACCCTCCCATGGCC